CTGTTACACACATGGGGATTGTGTGCCATGGTGGGCTCACTGCTTTAGCTCACAGGCATTTTTAGCTGGGTGTGTTGCTTCCTTGCCTTGAAAACGTGCGTAGCACCCCCTGGTACCACAACCGAATGGTCTTAAATGTGTATCGCTATGTGAAGGGAGGCGGTCTGAAAAGGTTACACACTGGTTATGACTTGATCCTGACTTTCAAAGGAGTTTAGATGCTCGGTTGATGGCAGCTCTAAGAACACTGGCTGCTCTTCCAGAGGACCGGGTTTGGGTCCTATAACCACGTGGCGGCTCACAACCATCTGCCCCTCCAGTCTCTGGCCTCCGTAGCCTCTGAGGTACACCACAGTGACAGCCCAAAATGCTGGCTGGGTGCAGACACCGTGCTGGAACCGACCTTTCCTCACAGGAATGCAAAACGATTCAGCTACTCTCAAAGGCATTTTGGGAAATCCTTTTAACACTGAATTTATTCTTGACATTCAGTCCGGCAATCTCACTCCTCGCACGCCTTTAATCCCAGCACTTGGGAGGCAGAGGCAGGCGGATCTCTGTGAGTTCGAGGCCAGCCTGGTCTACAAAGTGAGTTCCAGGACAGCCTCCAAAGCTACAGAGAAACCCTGTCTCAAAAAACCAAAAAAAAAAAAAACAAAAACAAAAACAAAAACAAAACATTTATCCAAAGGAATCCGGAACTTATGTCTATGAACACCAGAATATGGGTGCTTCTGGCTATTTTATTTACCAGTATCCAAAATTAGAAGTAAAAAGAAAGAAAGAAAAAAGAAAAGAAAGATGTCCCTTAATAAGTGAGTGGGACAGCCATGGTGTTTGAGACAATGGAATGTTATATAGTACTGAAGGAAATGAGCCTACTAAGACATGAAAAGAGATAAAGGAATCTCGTTCCCCCCCCCCCATGAGTGTTATACCCGTGTACATATGCACGTCTTGCATGTCTGTGCATGTATGTTATACCCGTGTACATATGCACGTCTTGCATGTGTGTGCATATATGCTATACCCGTGTACATATGCACGTCTTGCATGTGTGTGCATGTATGTGGAGGGCTAGGGTTGACATCAGGGATCATTCTTGACTGCTCTTCTGCCTTAGTCGTCGAGGGGAGGGTCTCTCAGGCAACCCCAGATCTTGTTGATGCCACTTGTCTCTGCCTCTTAGGCTGAAATTGGAGGCAGGCTGCCACACTCACCCGGCATTCACGAGGGTCTGCGACCTAAACTTCTGTCCTCACTCTGGTGACTCGACAAGCGCTCTGACCACTGATCCGTCTCCACACATATGTGACAGATGTGAAGAGGGATCTCAGACACATGTTACCAAGTGAAAGAAGCCAATCTGTAAGGGCTACGTGTGGCTCCAACTATGCCGCATTCTAGAGGCGGCACACCAGGGGGGAGGGTGGGCAGATCATGCGTTGACAGACGTTGGGCATGGGAGGAGGCGTAAGCACAGGAAAACAGCGAAACTGCCCCATGTGTGTATGGGTGGCACTGTACCGGCTAGTGTGTCATTGTACGCTTGTCCAAACCCAAGAATGTGCCCCACCAAGGGTGAACTCAAATGGATAAACTATGGAATTTAGGGGATAACGATCAGGCCTATCTGCTATAAATGGGCCACTCTGAAGCAGATGCTGGTGCTGGGGAAGGCTACAAGTCACGGTTCATTTTGTCAACCGGGGACAACCTAGAATCGCCTGGGAAGAGAATGTCAGTGACAGACCGTCTAGGTCAAAAGTGGTCTGTGCGAAGTGTTGTCCTCATTGCCTTAATGCAGGTAAGACTCAATGTGAAAGTGGGCGGTGCCATTCCCGCTCTTGGGCCCTGGGTTGTAGGAGAACTTACAGAGCTAGCTGAGGACCCAGGAGGCAAGTTCGGAGTTGTGAGATACAACAAATTCCTTCTCCCCTACTGCCAGGGGAATTTATCTCAGAACAGAAGTGACGCCAGGATGCTATTTGCCAGAGTGAGTAGTAGGTGCATGAGGGAATGGCTGCTTCTTCCGCTCAGTTTCGATGCAATCCTAAAGAAGGCTCAGGAGGTGAGCATACTCCGCTCCAGCAGAGGACCAGTGCTCGTCTCTTTCTTCCTATGCTGGGTGGATCAAAACTGCCTGTAACTCTAGCTCCAGGGGATCTGACACCTTTTTCCCGATCTGCAGGCCCCTGCAGTCACATGCACACACCCAATGCATACATATGATTTAAAATAAAATACATCTTTAAAAAAAAAACTATCCTAGCCGGGCGTTGGTGGCGCACACCTTTAATCCCAGAGCTCTGGAGGCAGAGGCAGGAGGATCTCTGTGAGTTCCAGGCCAGCCTGGTCTACAGAGTGAGTTCCAGGACAGCTTCCAAAACAATACAGAGAAACCCTGTCTCAAAAAACCAAAACAAACTAAAAAACTACCCTGAAACATGGCTATTGGAGACAAGCAAGCAAGGTTTCTTTGACCCTGAAGTTCAAGTGCACAGCACACACACTCTGTCCCAAAACTTTTGCTTTCTCTCCTATCACAATGTTGCTTCCCAAATACTGTCCTCAAAGACAGTTTCCACATAATTTTTATGTTTAACATTTATGTATGCGTGTGCTTGTGTGTATGGGTACACATGGAGACCAGACAACAACCTTGGATATCATTCTCAAGATACTATCTATTTTATTTTTTAGAGCAGGGTTGCTTAATTTGAACTGGAATTTGCTAATTTGGTTAGGTTGGCTCTCGTCACCCCGCCCATGTGTGTCTGCGTGTGGGCAAGAGGCTAACCTTGGATATAATTCTTCGGGAGCTGCCCATCTTGACTTTCTGGGAAAGAGTCACCATTTAACTGGGCTGGCTGACCAGTGAGTGGCTTTTCTACTTGGGTTCTGGAGATGGAACTGGGGTCCCAGCCTTCTTTCTTAATGTGTAGCTCTTCAGAGTCCTGGATCCTGAGCATCTAATTAATTCCTACATAGAGTAAGGATAGCACATGCATGTATTTTGGTTGTCTTTTCATTTGTGGTTATGCCTTCGTATTGTTTACCAATTGTGAAGGGTTCCTGGATGGCTTCTCTTACTGCCGTGTCAACATGGCTGACCCTGAGGACCATTTTTTTTTGTTGCTATGTATTTTTCTGTCATATTTGGAAACACCAGAAGCCCAACAAAGCAGAATCTCCCATTCCCAGGGGCTGACTGTAATAGAATTTGATTTTTGCTCATTTCTTTCCTCAAGGAGTGTTGGGAGAAACTGCTTTGACAGTCCTGGGGATGTGGCTCAATTGGTAGACCACTTGCCTAGTTTGCAGGAAGGTCTCTCTGGATTCTACACACAGCGCTCTACAAACTGGGCGTCATGGCACATACTTGTAGTACTAGCACTCAGGAGGTGGACGCAGGAGGATCAGAAGTTCAAGGTCGTCCTCTACTACATAGTGAGTTTTAGGTCGAGGGATACGTGAGATTGGGGGGGGAGGAAAGTAATGACTTCAAGAGGATGGTAGTCAATTGTAAATTAGGAAAGAGATCATAAGGCAAAAATATATTTCAGGAGAACGTTGATTTAGAAACCCAGGCTATTTAGATTTTGTTTGATGGGCTCATAAATCGGGCATGAGTTTATAATGAATTTCCATGTTTGTGTGTACATATGTGTGTGCATAGAAGCGGTGTGTGTGTGTGTGTGTGTGTGTGTGTGTGTGTGTGGTGTCCACACAAGGCCAGAGTACAGCTTGAGCTGTTATTTTGGCACCGGGTTTCTGATCGGCCGGTAACCCCCCAAGTGCACGAGGCTGACCGGCCAGGAGCCTTTTGCATAAAAGCCTGGAGCATCCCGAGTATTCGTCCAAGTAGCACAGCCCCTCCCCCACTAATGACTCGGTAGTGTGCGTCATTGGATAATCTTATCTTCACGAATACTGAATGACCCTTAATCATTTCCCTGTAACCGGGTTAGGCAACCCCTTCTCCCCGCCCACATACTCTGGTGGTGAGCCTAGGAGGCAGGTAGCCTCTTGGGTGTTTCGTTTATAAAATGGTGATAAACTGGAGTCTTTCCCTCACAGGACTGTTGGAGACTGGGTGAAATAACGCTTACTTCAGCACAACGCCAAGCACGCATTAAATATGCAGTTAGGGTTAGGCGATCGTTAGAACGATAGTTAAAGACAACCTGGGGGGGGGGGGAACCAAGCGCTTGCTCGGCATGGGACCAGGCAAAGAGAAAGGGACTGACGGAGACGTGCGTTGGGGTGCAGGGAGGGAAATCCCCGGAAGGGCATTTTCCCAGCCCCGGGCGACTCAGGGATTCCAGGGCCACGCAGGCATCGATGCCCCGCACGTTGTCTTTGCATTTAGAAAGCACCCAACCCCTTCACCTGGTCGCTTTTCTAGGGTTGCAGGAGGGATCTGCTTGGAAGGAGGACTGCAGCCCCAGGATCGCGGTGGCGCAGAGCCTGGGACTGCGTGGGTGGTGCCACCCGCAGACGCGTCTCCGGCACGTCCGGGGAGTCCCTGTCCCGCAGCCCCCCGGCCCCGCCCTCCAGGCTCCCTCCTCCGGATCCCGGCAGGGCCCTTTAAAAGGCAGTGTCGTGTCCGGAGGGAGAGGGCTGGGGGCGCTGACCCGCCCGCGGCTAGTCCCTTCTCCCCGCCCCCTGCCTGCCCGGTGGGTCCCTCCCTCTCTGGATCCCCGCGTCGCTCGCTCGCCCGCCCGCCCGCTCGCTCTCCCCGCGCACGCTCGCTCGCTCTCTCCGTCAGTCTCCCGAGCGGATCGAGTGCGCGGCGCGGAGCCAGAGCCCGGGCTGGTGGGGCGGCCGGGGCTGCGGGCTGGGAGCGCGGCGCGCACGGCCTCCTTGCGCCATTCTCCGCGCTCGCTACGGGCGAGGCCGGCGCCGCGATGGCCGAGATGGGGAGCAAGGGGGTGACGGCGGGGAAGATCGCCAGCAACGTGCAGAAGAAGCTGACCCGAGCGCAGGAGAAGGTGAGAGAGACCCGCCACACCTCTCACCCCTACCCCGGGGATCCAGCCGGCCACTTCCGGATGGCCGTGGCCGAGGAGTCCCTGGGCTCGGTCTCCCTGCAGTTACGGGTGTCCCCCTTCTCCCCATTCGGGCTCCGGCGGAGGAGGGCGCAGCTGTCCACCTTGTCCCCCTTCCCCCACCGTTTGGTACCTTCTCGGCTCCCCTGCAGAGAAGCGGAGGCCCACGCTTCCCGGACGCGGGGTCCACTCTCACCCTACCCTGGAGTCCAAGGGTCAGGAGGCTGGGAGGTGACCCCCGGCTCTCTAGACCCACGCGGGCAATCCAGGCGGGGCTTGCGTGCTGGTGGGGGTGGGGGTGGAGGGAGCCTGTCTCGCCGCCCCTGGGGCCGTCCACGTCCCGGACTTCTCAGGATCTACTTTACCAGCTGGCTAGTGCGGGCGCCCACTACCCTCGGCTTCCTGCGGTCCCCGAAGAAGAAGAAGAAGAAGGCATTGCTTTCCTCCTTCCAAGAGGTGCCTGCGGCCTACAAGGTCCCGCCCAGACCCGCCAGGTTGCAGAGGGTTCTGCACCGCTCGCTCCAGCAGGGATTTGGCGGCTCTAGCCTTTGGAGAGAGGGAGATGGTGGGAGCTCCTGGCTATCCCGGTGGCCCAGAAGAGGGGTGTGGAGGGCGCCGCAGGAAACCCTCTCCCTGTGGTCTGAGAGTACTCTGGGGTTTTTGCAGTGGACGGGATCAGTGCTTCCTGGGACACCCTGACTGTGCAGGAAATGCGGGGGTTGGGGGCGGGGGTCCTTCGCTGGCCTGCCTTTTACCCCTAGCCATCCCTGGCTTATTGAATTGGATCACGCCAGCTGCTGACGCCACTTCCCCTGCCAATTCCGACTCTGAAATCTGAGATTGTACAATTTGTGTTTCTGCCAGGGATAGCCCCCTCGCGGCTCCAGCTGGGCCGGGGGCCTGGTGGGAACAGGGACCCCGCTTGCCTTCCTCTGCCAGTCTTGGGGCTGTTTATAAACAATGACTTTTGCAGCTGAGAGCTGTGAGCTCCCCAAGGATGCAGCCACGTGATGAGAGGGGGGAGCTGGGTAGAGCTCCCTTAGAGCCCTCCTCCTCCTCCTCCTCATCCTTGTGGTTACTAGCTAAGGAGGGGGTGACGGTATGAGTATGGGGAGGCTCTTGCTAACCTCTGGATCTGGCCAGAGCGCCTTGCCCCATCCAGGAGGAAAAAGAAGAGAGAGGGATTAGAACCCTGCCCCCCTCCCCGCCCCCAATAGTCTGCTGGTGCCGAGGAGACCGAGGTTACCCGGCCGGAGCAGTCGGCAGATACAGCCACCCAGGCTCCCAGTGACCTGCTTCCCCCTCCTAGAGGGAATGAATGGTAATATTGGGAGTAAGCTCAGACAAGGTCCCTGCCCTCACTACGTGGAGGTCGGCTTCATGTGGCCCCCACTGCTGCCCGTGTACACCTCTGCCCGGATGCGGTTTTCTTGATGCGACCCTGGGGTCCATAAGTGTAGGCCACGTTCCTTCCTTTTAGGTGGCCCCGTGTCTGTCGCTGGGCCACTGGAGTGCCCTCTCTCCTCAATGCCCCGCACGGAGGTTTGGGGCAGTTGGCTGACAGCTGGTTGGCCACCGAGCATGGCTCCAGCCAGCAGCTGTCCTTGCCTGTGCCTGGACCTCATGGGTTGGCACTCGCCTCTTGCCATGGTTTCTCCGTGTCCCATGGGCGGTAGCTGGGGACCATTTGCCCCGGGGGAAGCCAAAGACAGTCTGACAGGTACCCTGAGACAGTAGCCTGTTTCCCATCCTCTCCTTCCTTGGCCCTACAGACCCCGTTTCAGGAAACCCCGTGTCTTGCCTAGATACTGACCTTTTTCTGCTTATCTTCATCCTGCTCCTTGGAATCTGCATCGGCCACAGCCTGGGCAAGCTGATTATTGGGAGCCTCCCCAACATCTCCTGGTGGCGGCCCACGCTCTACTCAGTGCTCGTTGCTGATGGGGTCTCAGTCTTGCGAGCAGCTCTCACACTGGGTCCACCCTTCTTGGTCACACAGGGCAACTTTAAATTCTCATGGGAGGGTATTTTTCGGAGAAAGGATGGCAGGTGGGCATCACAGAGAGTTGGGGAGACAGCTCAGCTGGAAAGGATAGCAGGCAGGCATCACAGAGAGAGTTGGGGAGACAGCTCAGCTGGAAAGGTGCTTTCCAAACAAACACGAGGAGCTGAGTTTGACACCCCCGCCCCAGAACCCATGTGTAAAACTGGGAGCAGGAGTGCTGTGAGCTTGTGATTCCAGTGCTGGGGAAGCAGAGACAGGAGGATCTCCAGGACTTGCCCAGTCAGCCAGTTGGCCTATATCAGTAAGTTCCTGAGGAAGAGACCTGATGTTGAGCTCTGGCCTTTACACGCTCCTGCGCATGCACAGGACGTAAAAAGACCGCCTACGGTGTATTTGCATAGGGAAAAGACCCTGTTGCTTCCCACTGATTCTTCCCAAGACTCAGACAGTGACCGTAAAAGCGCAGTGTGCCTGCCCTCTGGTGTCGCGGGGTCCTGTGAGGGGTCCTCGGTGGCTGCTATTTGATTCATCAGCCTCTTTGTCCCGGGCAGGGCTGTGCTGGTGACCCTCTGGTGTCTCTCTAGCTCTGGTGGGTGTTTAGTGGATGTTTGTGAATGACTGTGGGTGCTTGCTCTTGGAGCCCAGGCTGGCCCAGGCCCCCGAGTGAGCTGGTTGGATTGTTTCCTACTTTCCTGTCATGAGGCGGCATGAGTCCCTGCATGCTGCCTCAGGCAGGAAGCGTATGGCTTCAGGCCTCCATGGTGCATGCCCCCTTACAGCCGCTGAGTGCCTGCAGTGAGTGTGTGTGTGCCTGGAACCCAGGCCTGTGGGCTTTGTGAGGTCATCTTCCCATTGCATTTGGCTTAGCTGACCCTCTATAAATGGCTGTGTCCATTTTTGGGCCTCAGAAGGGTGGCTAGGCAAAGCCAATTGAGGGTGGAGGCAGGGTCAGATGACAAGAGGATTAGAGGTTGGCGAGCTGGGCCCCCTGGGGGGTGGGGTGGTTGGGGAAAAGAACAGCTGGGGCTGCGGGGGAGGAGTGGAATCTTGCCCGCCCAAGTCCATGGCCGTGGAGTCCTCAGGGAAGAGCGTGTGAGGGAGGCTGGGTCTTGTTCTCTCAGTGTTGGGCCAGTGGTTAAGCACAGGTTGGGCATGGTGGGAATACGCAACACGGGAATGTCCCCTTGATGGCCGCGGCTGCCCCTGAGGGAGCCTGGAGTGTGGGGAAGGCCACCGCCAAGCCTGGGGTTGTCAGTGCACAGCGCGTCTCTGGCGTGTGGGACAGATGCTCCCTCGGCAGAGGAAGGGGCAGCCTGGTTATTTATAGGGCCTGGACACGTGGTGGTGAGCTGCGGCCATGCTGCCCTGTTCTGCCACCGTGACACGGGGCAGGGAGCTGCCTCGCCTTCCCCTGTGGTAGGCACATCGGCTTCCGTAGGATGGGCCGGGTTTGAGCATCACGCTTCTGGTAGCGACCTAAAGAGCAGCTAGGGTACCCAGAGGAGCAGGTGTCCCCTCTAACAGGATGTGCTTTTGCTGCCGTCCTGATACAGACCTTGCCACTGAGGTCATCTGGGCCACTGGGTTTATTTAGACAGGCGTTTCCCAGCCCGAGCACCCAGCCTAAAGCTGCTGCCTTCCACGCCTCCCCCCCCGCCCTGTGCTTCCCTCTGCCCTGGAGGGTAAGGGCTGTTCTCAGTCCCCTCTCCCATGCGGCACCATCCCTGTTCCTCTGTAACTTTCTGCGCTGGGCCCTCTCTCCTTGAGCCTGGGCAGTCTCTGCTGAACCTTCCAACCTGGATCAGATTTCCTGAAGAAAAAAAATCCCTTATGTAAATGGTTCACCTTCCGTGCAGGAGCCTGCGTCCTGTCTGAGGTGTTGGGTGCTTGGGGGCGGGGGCACAGGGGATGCTCTGGAGATCCCGGTCTCAGGAAGGTGTGGGAGAGCTGTAAGCATGTCCTCGGGATCTCCCTGAGTCCCCTCAGACCCTGCGGCCTCAGCAGTATGCTGTCTGCGGCAGGTGGGAGCCAGGCGGTTGCTGCTGTTCTGAGCGGGGAGTGGGACAGGGGGAGCCTGCTGGGGAGCCTCGAGTACAGGTGTGGGCGAAGGTGTGAAGGGCCAGTGAGGATGGCCAGCATTTCAGACCCGGGGAAGAGAGGGTGGCTGGATGAAAGGCTCGGGCGAGGGGTGGCTGGATGAAAGGCTCGGGCCAGATTTGATTAAGTGTTGCATGCTGGGGTAAACAAAAAATCTGTGTACCCCAGGGATTCTCACAGCAGCTAAGGCAGAACCACTTTCTACCTCTTCCTGACAGATATCTTGAGGTTCCCTTGTCACCTTCCTTCTCTGGCTTCTGCACTGGGTGGCTGGGGTAAGTTCTTCCCAGGTTGTGAGTCTGGGACAACGCTGGGAGTCCGTTAGTCCCCGACTCTGGCTGTAGGTCAAGGATGCACCTCATGTAGCTTTTGTCCCCCTGAGAGGTAGATCTTCTATCCGCCCATCACCACGGGTCACACATGGGGGCTCTGGTCCCCCTGACTGGCTTAGTCAGGTGACGGATCCTTTGGGAGCCTCCCGCCCCGCTTGGTGGATAAACTGAGGAGAGCGATGGCTCCTTCTCACAGGTATGCTGTGAAGAGCAGAGAGCGTTTGACAGATGCCTGTCACATAGCACATGCTCACTAAATATCATCGAGGTTAGGCGTCCTGATACCACAGAACCTCCTTGGGAGCCCCGTGTCCCTTACTCAAATCGCCTGGGAGTGTCCGTTACGGGGTTCTGTAGACAGCTAATCCCTGCTGATCCCTTAGCCTGTCAGGCAGGGCTTAGGATAGCGGCCTTGTGTGTGTGTGTGTGTGTGTGTGACACACGTACCATGTATGCATGTTGATGCGTGTGGTGCCCGCATGTGTGAGTAAGTGGTGTGAACAGCCTTGCAGGCACAAAGGCTTGGATTTCAGAGTCAGAGCATTGTAAGAGTTGACTCAGTTCCTACAGATAAACCCTAACCTGGGCCTCCTTCTCGAGTCTTTTGTTTCTTGACAGTGGTGGAGCGGTGATGGATTCGCATGTTTGTCCCACACAACATGTAGCACACACTGCGTGCTAAACACTGAGGAAGCTGGGGATCAAAGCCGTGCCGTGTGGAGCTGATGTCCTAGCCGGAGACATGCTCATCACACAGGGGCCGCAAGCAGGGGCATGCTCCATGTGAGGAGACCTATGCCTGTGCTTAGGTTTTAGATGGACTCGACTACAGACCGTGGGTGGCTGCCTTGATTTAGGGGGGAAGGCTAGGGGAAGAGTCTGGTCTCCAGGTGATAGATCACCTCTAGTAGTGGGGACTTCCTGTTGGATGTCTAGAGTATTGTGTTTTCCTCTTTGGCATGCTTCCACTGGATTTGAAAAAAAAATACAAAAAAAAGCATGCTAATCGTAAAATTCTGCAC